AATGCATCCAGATAGATCTTATTCTATCATCCGACCAAACTCTGTTCACAAACCTACAGTTATGCTACAAAGTTATAGCATGTACAGTCGTCAAAAATTAATCCGTCATTAATTTTGCTAAACTTAATTCTGAATTTACTGTTCTAAACTGGGCTTCAATCTTAACGAGCTCACACATTTTGGAAAATTGGGCCGTTTTCAAAATTACCTTTAACACGGTAGTAGCAAAACATAGGCTAATATTGCGACGAAATTCCGGTGGGATGGGATGGTCCGGAATTTCGCTGATAACCTGTGGTGGCGGCGTACCTGTGTGCCAAGATTTGGGCCGACTAGTGTCACTGATATAACAAAGACGTCTAGGCGTCCTTCACGCCACCGGGAGGTGGCGCCTTCGAGGGAGCGCCGGGGTTGCCCTCAAGCCGGAGACACGGATCTGAGGTGGTGAGCGCCCGCGAAAACACGAGAATAAAATAAAACGGCAAGAAGTATTTTGCAGAATAAATAGGGTTTATTCCCTGCCACCAATAACAAGTCTTACGACTAATCTTAAATAAAATACATACACAAATGTAAAAAAAAAAATAAGACGTCCGGCACGGTCGTTCCCTCCTGGACGGCGACTTCCTTCAGAACGGGCTCCTCCTGGAACTGGGGGCGTGACCTTAAACCTGGAAATCGCGCGACGACGGTACGGTGACCCGGGAGGGAAGCGCGGTGGCGGTAACGACGCGTGCACGACGGTTTCGACTTGTTCCGGTGACGACAAAAAAAAAATGGCGGCAGTTGTATGGTTTCTCGCTCGGCGGCAGCGATTCAAAAACCGGTACGCCAACAGGTAGAAAACCCAAGACGGTACTTATGGTGGTTCCATGGCTTCTCCAAAGGAAACTAATGGCAACTTGGCAAACTCTTGAACACAGCAACAGCACCCACACCCTCTGAAGCTTCAAGGTAGAATCCTCTTCTTCAACTTATATTAAAACTAAAATGGCTTGGTATCTCCCGTAATCTGTTAGTTTGGATTAAATCCTTCCTTTTGAGCGATTATTTAGAGTAAAAGTTGGTGAGGCAGTGCACTCATAAGCAGGTAATAAGTGGTGTTCCGCAGGGTTCTGTATTGGGACCCCTCCTGTTTCTTGTATACGCAGTCGACTTAAGAAAGTATATTCGGTCACCATGTGCGTTTTATGCTGATGATTTTAAGATCTATAACTCGTCCTGTAAACTACATATAATTGCAAAGGATATATTAGGTGTGACGGAGTGGCGTGAAAAATGGCTCACTCCTTTGAACATTAGCAAATGCGTTGCCTTGCACGTTGGCCCCCATAATCCTAGAGTTGACTACTTCATAGATGGTGTTCCACTGACTAAAGTAGATGGACAGAACGATTTATGAGTAACAATTACCGCCGATTTAATATGGTCGCAACACATCTCTAAAATAGTAATTAAAGCCAACAAAATGGTATATTTATTAAGACGTAGAATATTGAAACTCTATTTATTGTAATTGTATTTACCTTACTGAATTTAATAAAGGTACGAACTATTGTTATTCACGTAATAAAGTCTGAACTCTCTACTCGAGCGTACAAAAATAGAGCCGATAGACATTCCACACCACAGGACAAAATACCGCCTATACATACTCCAGGCCCCGTTAACATGCTAGCTATCACTCCTTACACTCCATGTGCAGACCCTAGCACACCTTAACCAAGACGTTCGAGTGGGCAAAATTAGTGTGTCTCAAGAAAATTTCACCTACTTAGTCAGCTCGATACCAGATGTGTAACAGAATGTGTAGTTCCACGTAGAGATCCACATAACACTACACTTACATACCCCTAAATTGCTAGTACTTTCAACGATAAGACTGAACAATATTAAGAGTAATAACCGGAATGAAATGGGGGAGTGTGGGCGGGACTATTGCTTGTCTATAAAACACTCTAGGAAGAAGCTAAAGTTAGCCCCACCCACCCACCCGTTCTCTCATTTTTTTTCTTCTGAAATAAGAAATAAATTCTATGACAAATAATACAACAACAACAAAATTACTTAGCACTAATTTCGATTAGTTCCCATTCCCACTCTACAAGAGAACATATACCTAAACCCCGCCCACCCACCTGCCTCGATTTCAGTGATTAATTTTATCTGCTCTGAGTGGAAAATGGATCTTATGCAGAAATAAAATTAGTCGCTAGAATGAGAAAAGGGGGGTGGGCGGGGCTAGTAATTGTTAAGAAAAGACTGATTTTGGCAAATCACATACCTTCTAAGAAAATAGAGGGCGGGTGGGCGGGGCTAGTACTTGCAACGATAAAACTGAGCAATATTAAGAGTAATAACGGGAATGAAATGGCGGAGTGTGGGCGGGCCTACTGCTCGTCTATAAAAGACTCTAGGAAGAAGCTAAAGTTAGCCCCACCCACCCACCCGGTTTCGCATTTTTTTTCTTCTGAAATAAGAAATAAATCTTATGACAAATAACACAACAATAAAAAATTACTTAGCACTAATTTCGATTGGCTCCCACTCCCACTCTACAAAAGAACATATCTATTGCTTGTCTAAAAGATTCTATGACAAAGTTAAACTTAGCCCCACCCACCCACCCGTTCTCTCATTTTTTTTTCTTCTGAAATAAAAAACAAATCTTATGACAAATAATATAACAATAAAAAAATTACTTAGCGTTAATTTCGATTAGTTCCCACCCCTACTCTACAAAAGAACGTACACCTAAACCTCGCCCACCCACCCGCCTCCATTTCGGTGATTAATTTTATCTGCTCTGAATGAAAGGTGGATCTTATGTAGAAATAAAACTAGTCGTGCGAACGAGAAAAGGGGGGGTGGGCGCGGCTAGTACATGTTAAGATAAGATTGATTTTGCCAAATAATATACTCTGTAAGAAAATAGAGGGCGGGTGGGCGGGGCTAGTACTTGCAACGATAAGACTGAACAATCTTAAGAGTAGTAACTGCGGCGGGGCTACTGTTTGTCTATGAAAGACTCTAGGTTGTTATTATTGCTGAGAGGGTATTTTTTCCGTTGGATATCTGCTTTAAATATACACTGCCAGACAAAAAAAACCGGACACTTGAATATTTGTAACTTTACGCTAATTATTATTATTGTTGATAACCATCCCCGCAGTGAAACCAATTATTATCAGGGTGCTACGAAATTTAAAATTTAAAAACGCAAGTTTTTTATTTGTCTAAGAGTGCAATTGAAATGGTCAAACTGATCTTTATGCAAATTGTATCCTTTGATTTTTTTTCGTAATACCTATACTAGTCTTCTTTCAACAGTAAAATACTTAAAATATCAAAGAGTCAATTTGAGATTAGAATTATGTTTTAAGTATCGTGTTTAAAAAAAAATTAAATAAGTCCTAATTGACCTAAATATATGCACATCATTCCTTTATGTATTTTTTAGGGTTTTTTCTTTCTTTCGTTTAGTTTAGTTTTTAATGTGGTTATTTATACAGCTTGTTGTTGAAAGGTACGTACAAAATAAAATCGGCAATTGGTCTTGTAGTATGAGTGCCAAAACTAAAAAAAAGTTCAGGTAAAAATGTTCTCCTTTTAGAGATAAAAATTATTAAAACTTATGTCCAAATTCGTTGTACGCCTCTAATAAAAAGATCATCTTTCGTTTCTATAGCAACATTTAGTCTTGACAAAACTTTTATTGTTACAGTTGCTAGGATTTACTAAAATAAATTAATTTTACCTATTTGTCTTTCAGTAGCGCCTAAAAAGGTTGGATAAGGGTTAATTTTCCCCTTATAATTTTGATAACACAAAATCAGTTTTTCAGACTTCTTAGACTTCGCGAATAACTGTCAATTTTGTTGTACGTACCTTTCAATAACACCCTGTATTTATATAGTTTAAGGATATAGTGATGGTCTAGCAATGTGAATGTAAGATAAAATAAAAGTCAACTTTTTTCTTGCTTGTTTTCCAATAGCGATGAATGGATTATTTTAAAGGCAATGAACATCCGTGTGCCGTAAATTTTAATTATAAAGTAACTACTTGCATATTTGTAATGTTCAGAATTCTTTAGCAACAAATATCGTTATACGCTTTATTCGTCTCCTGGGAATTATTTTTGCTTATTCTTAGCATTCGCGCAGTTGACCCAAGATGTTCCTTATGATTTCATTTTAGGTTAAAGCAATCGCCACCGCTTGTCCATCATCTGTGAGAAAAAACTCCGGTTAAATCACTCTAGTTCCGTCAAAGATAAGTACCTCGTTCGGAGACGTAGTTGGAGCAAATTGAATTTGAAACACCTGTTGTAGGTAGCGTCAACAGGTTGGACTGAGTACGCCCGATTTGTTTTCAACATCCGGGGAAGGTATGCATGCACAGACTATGGTACTTCGTGCGAATATACGTGTTGCAGTTTCCATCCAGCGTAGTAAAATTTCAGGCTGTTTGTTGTGTCACTTGTACATATTATACTTGTAAATTCAGAGTTATCGTATCCCACGCGATATATTATGAGTATTTGGTGTCCTATGACGCGGCTGAAATTTGCTGCGAGCTAAATAACTGTGTTTTTAATGTCTAAATATAACAGAGTTCATTGCAGCAGCTAGCCGTCCAAAGCTCTTTATTGAACTCTATATACTATATATTTATAAAAAAATATCAACAATTGTTAAACGTAGAATCTCGAGATGACAAATTATTAACTAAATATTTTGTGAATTTTGCAACTTAAGTACTTACTACCACCGCTCACGAGTAGGCTTAAAACCACGTGTAGTACATGTAAGCAATTGCCTTATTTCTAAAACTATTATCCTTAAATTTCGCAATATTGTTGAACATAACTATTTTAATTAATACCGCTAAACTTCATTAAAATTTGTGTCTTGCTTCTTGTGTAAATATATTATCTCAGCTTCTAATTAAAATTTTAATTGCCTCTAGGTAACGTGTAGACTTTTTTGGAAACTTACCTATAAACCATGGATTCCTTGGATTATTTTCAACGTTCAGCGACAAAAAGTATTCTTCGAATCCTCGTACAGGGTTTGCCTGCGGCTGAACAGATAATGTGCCTTCTACTTCGGCTTCATTACCATCAGACACTAAAGAACGAGCGCTCCATCCATCCGAACCAATCCAAGAGAAACTACCAGTAGCGTTGCTGCGACGTACGGCACGCATCACACCAGCAACTTCTTGATCGGAACCAAAAATTATGCAACCTGGAAAGATAAATTAAAATTAGTGAAAAAGAAATCGTTTGCCATGTAGAATTAACAAGAAGCATTTTCTAATAACTTTTGGATCAGTTAAGTGATTTAATATGATATGTAGTTTTTTTAATTATATATATATCATACTTAGAAGCATTAGAATGAAAAGGACCGGATTTACAAATACAGAAAGAAAATTTTAAAATGATATAAAATATTTGTGATTATGGGCTTGTTCATTTTCGATTTTTCTTTAATAACTCTTAGCAATATTTGACACATTTTGTAGTCCTGTTTACGGCTCTAAAAAAATTACTGTTTCTCCACATTTTAAACCTACAAAAAGAAAACTACATATATTCCAGTAATTCGCGTCGTTTATTTGCATACAGACGTATTTTCTAAAAACTTTTTAATAACAAAAGTTGATGTTGACTTTCTCTTTAAATCGTCAAGTACGTGGTCCAATAGATTTCAATAGATGTTTGACTCTATAAAAAGCTTTGGTATATTTAAAAGGATTAGCGGTTCTTCCAAAAGATAATCTTCAATACTATTCTAACTGATTATATTCTGCACTCTGAAAACGAAGCCTTCTCTTAGTGAAATAAGTATTGACTCTTGCGGACAATATGGCAAACTGCCAATGCAATGGATCTGAACCTCGTGTCGGAGCGATTAAACTTATACTTATGGTACAAAAAAGGGTTAGTTTTTCTTTAACGCAAATCCAGCGATATCATACTATATATTTGAGATAAAACGCAAAGACAACGCATTTTAAATTCGGTTTTTTGGATACAAATTTTTCATAGCATTAATTCAGCCGTAATGTTTTTCTGATAGGTTTTCCTCTATCGCTTCTTTCCACTTCTTCCTTGGTTTGCCTCTTTTCCCTTTGCTCTCCGGAATTTTCCACGCCACCATTTTAACTTCTCTTTCTTGGGTCATTCTTTCTAGATGTCCTAACCATTGCAGTCGTTTTATTTTTATGAAATTGCTTACAACTGTGTCATTACAAAAAAAATTAATTGAAGTCAATGTGAGTGAGTGAAATGAATTGATGCTCTCCAATAATTCGCTAAATTCTAATGTTATATAAAGGGTTTATTTTCCGTATTTGTGAAGAAACATCGATTTGAATGTGTTTCTCCAGCTTACATATTGAATTTTGTTTTTTTAGTAAGTTGTATAATAAGTCGCAATTCACCTTCATCGTAGCTATAAAAATCATCGACTGTATTCACAGATTTTGTTACGTACTATCATCTGACTTTTTCCTCCGTCTCTTAATATTTGTTATTCCGTGGCCTCTCTTGTGCGTCTCATGTTATTCAACTTGAAGGGCCTCTAGGTGTGAAGTTTGTGTCCTAGTCTTATCCTGTCAGCACTAATAATTTACAAAATGAGTGTCTGTCTTAATAATTGTGGGAATATTATCAAAGCAAGCGAATATTCAATTCAATGCGATGTTTGTCAGGGTCAGTTGCATCTAGGCTGCATTGGTTTATCAGAAAACGAGATCGAAATTACCAGGAAAAAATCTAAATTTATAAAAGTGATCTGCAATTCTTGTAATACTAATTTGATGCAGTTTAAAGATCTGAAAGGAATAATTTTAATGTTTAATGTTCCGGAAACTCCCGATGTCTCATTTGAAAATCAAAAAGAACAGGATTGTATTAAGGTTAACAATATTTTAAATGGAATTAATCTGAATGTCTCTACAAATGAAATACGAATACAACGGTTAGGGACACTAGATCCAGTTAATCCTAAGTCAAGAGTAATAAAGGTTACCTACCTTAAATCAAGAAAACGACGTCCATGTTATAATAAAAAATGTGAAAGCTTTGAAAAACAATGAACACTTTAGAAATGTATCTGTTGCTTTCTATAAAACCCCGAAACAAATTGAGCATTATAAGCGTCTTCAACAAGAATTGCAATCTAGGATCTCGAAAGGTGAAAAAAATCTGAAAATAAAATATTACAACGGTGTCCCGTCCATCGCACATTTAAACTAAGTAATACGCCCAGTTATAATAACTTGCTTCATTGCAATTACCAAAATGTGAGAAGCTTACGTTGTGAAAATTTCTATAATAACGTCTCATCGTCTGATTTTGATCTAATAGGTACCGCGTCAATTCGTCGTGCACAATTCGTCGCGCGACAATTGATCGCAAACAACTGATCGCAGCGTCAATTGGTCGCAGCGACAACTGGTCGCAACGACAACTGGTCGCAGTCACAATTGATCGCAACACAATTCGTCGCAAGTACAACTGGTCGCATGCGACAATTGATCGCAGGCGAAAAATGATAGCGTTTATAGAGAAATAAGTAATTGTAATGAATGAGGAAAATAAATTAATGTGCTATATTCTCAAAAATTTCATTATTTCTAAAAAAAGTGTCAAAATAAATACATACGAGTTCCATAAAAACGGTAACTATTAGGCTCATTTCCGACTAAACCAAAGTGCAAAAAAGTGAAAATATTGTAAAATATTTTTTTTAATGCTGACACATCTCGTCGGCATGCTACTGTAATGTTCATTTGAATTATTCGTCTTATTGATTAGACGCTCAAGTAAGTGATTCAAGCTTTTCTTCTCACAAGTTTAAAGTTTGTCAATTAAACGAGTGAAAAAAATAGCTTTCAAAACGTGTTAGACGTCATTTTTCTTTAATAAAAAATGGTTTTAAAATTATTACAACTGTCAAATTAAAAAGTTATAGATAAATCGTGAAAAAACTCTCGTTACAGTTTTAAGTGAAAAAATATTATTTTCATTACGTTTGATAGTTTAAAAAATTAAATATACCAGGCATTTTTTTTTAAACTGAACATAGGCCTATGTTCAGTTTTAAAACGACGCTGTAAATGCAGGAACATTGTTGGTTGTATAACCACGAGAAATCGTTTGAGTAAAGCAGAGCTTTTTCACCGAAACTACAGCGTGTTATGCACATCTTCAACAATAAACAAAACCATAAATACGACAAAAATTTTATAAAACAAAAACTAAATTTTATAACAAATATTCGAAATGACCGCCTCCCTGTTCCAAGCAATAACCAAGTCTGTGATGGGACTGCATTTCGTACGAAATTTGGATTCAACTCTTGGCAAGCTCTGACTATTCCTTCCTGTAACTCCTGAATTGTTTGAATTTCTACGTGATCATAAATTGTATTATGTAGGTGTCCCCAGAGAAAAAAATCATTTGGCGAAAGATCTGGTGATCGTGCAGGCCAAGCTACAGGACCAAATCTGCCTATCCAACGTTCACCAAATACATCATTTAAATAATTCGTAACTATTCTACACGAATGTGCTGGTGCACCATCCATCTGGAACCAAATATTCTCAATATTTAGTGGTTCTATTTCAGGAATAATATGGTTCCTTAAAAGTCTAAGAAATTTATTTGCATTTAAATTGCCATCAATAAAAAATGGTCCAATGAGCCTATTGTTTATTAAGCCAGCCCACACATTTAGTCTTTCTTGTACTTGATGGCGAATTAAATTTTGCACATGAGGATTTGTGCGGGCCCAGTACCTGTAATAAGAACATTTTGGCATAAATAGCATTGAATAATAAAATTGTAGAAAATCTGACCGATAATTTTGTGAATTAACTTCGCCATTCCTACTAAATGATGCCTCGTCTGTAAACATAATGTTTTCTAAAAGTTGTTCATTAGTGTTCAGTGAGTTAAACATCAATTCACAAAAATCCGTCCTCCTAATTTTATCCTCTTCAGTGAGGTATTGATGATTCCTAAATTTATATGGTTTAAATCGACATTCCTTCAAAACTTTTCGAATTGAGAATCTGGAAATACCGAAGTAGTTACTCATTTGCGTTATGGTGGATATTGGTTCCTCTTCAGCGTAGCATAATACGTTTAATTTCATCTCTTCGGTTAAAATGTGACATCTCCTATTTCTTTGATGATGACTATTGACGACACATCCTCTTGCATTAAAATTTTTAATTATGTTGCAAACTGTTGCGAGAGACGGAATTGGCCTAGTAGGGTACTGTATTGAAAATAAATCCCTTACAATTCGCATGCTACCACCAGCTTGGTACCATTGCAGTATTTGAATTTTTTCTTCTGTCGAATACATTGTGTGCAAGCAGTTTTGACATTTTAGAAAACATTTCAAAGCATTCTATTTGATTCTACTTTTTTAAACGATGGAGTTGTTGTAATGTTGGTTGCATTACAGTTGCAATTGACTGTGTCGTTTTAAAACTGAACATAGGCATATATTCAGTTTTAAAAAAAATGCCCGGTATATATTTTTTAATAAATTTGGTGCAAAGAAATTTGAATTTATATATTAACAATTAATCTTGGAGTTTATTGCATTCTTTGCAGACAATTTTTTGCTCACTACAAATTAGTTCTGGATTATCTTTAATCCATGATAAAACCAAAGATGTTTTTTCATTCAGAACTTTTTTGAACGCTCACACTGTTAATAAGGCGCTTGTAGATACGACAGAATGAATAATTTATCTCGTTCCCTTTGCTAAGTACCTACATACCAATCTCCACTTTTACGCCATTTCTGTAAACAAGATCGTAAAAAGATTAGTTTTGACCATGGAGCAAAGGAATATACTCATACTGGAGGAAGTGCCAGACTTAAAATGATGGTTTCGAGCCAAACCGGTAAAGTGTCATAAACAGTACCCCTCATTACCCAGATAAGACTGCCGATGACAGTGACGTACAGTTTTTTTTTTTTTTGATGCTGCTCATGGAATAAAATTTGTTGAATAAAACAACGCACATAACAGATTTATATTCTCTATTAATTAATATTATTTAAAATATTTAAATCAATCAACATATCACGAGTAACAAGTAATACAAACAGTGAATACCGTTAAAAAGTACAAACAACCAGGATGACGACGCCACTGAGTAGTGGTTATTCGCAATGGCGTGACTAATTTTTAGCTTGGGAAGTTTGAAAAGTTT